CCACCTAGGTTTTCACAGTATGACTTCACTTAAACATTAATCGGAGTTCCTTGATGGCCCCAAGAAGCACAGATCCAATTATTTCCATCCTAATAATATCACTTTATTTTATACCCAAGTCCCTCAAGTCTCTATATTCTGCCTGATTTAAAAAAACATTAATTTGGGGTGACTCAGTCAGTTGAGCACCTGACTCTTCATTTCAGCTCAGGTCACAATCTCAGGGTCATGGAACTGAGTCCACATTCAGCTCAGAGGTCAGGGGCGAGTCTGCTTAAGATTCTCTTTCTCTTCTTCCATTGCCCTTCTCCCCCCCCCCCCCCATCACTGGCATGTGTTCTCTCTCAAAAAAGTAAGTAAATTTTAAAAAAAAAAAAAAAACAACAACAACATTAATTTGGTTCTTGATATCCTCTTTCCACATTAAAGTCCATTTTAATCCTGTATTATGTGATCCTGTGAGCTCTAAAGCACAGAATGACCATTACCTGTGAGGAGAAGGCAATGCGATTCTATGTTGTGGTTTGACCTACTTTTATGTTTAGCAATTCATTTATGATAATAACATAACTTTGGCTTTCTGAACTTCTTAAGTGAAAAAGAGAAATGACAGATAAAAAACCTTCACACGTATGGTTAAAACAACTCTATGAAAAAGTAATCCGTGTAAGGAAAAGTGTCATGGTTGCATGGTGGAAAATAATTCATCAACTGGTAACTTTCATGTTGTGGCAAAACCCAAAAATATTTAAAAAGGACAAGTAGAGAACTTCATCTATTATTTTATTCTTATTAATTTTCTTTTGAATTTAGGAGGAAAAGCCATGATTTGAAATGATTAATAGAGACATTACAGATTCATTATTGAAAGCTAAATTCATTCTTTATCCTACAGAGGTTTTCTCTCTAAATAAATCTTTGATTGTGATAATCACAAAACTGGATACACTCTTACTTAAGTGTTTTCTGTTTGAAAAAATAACCTCCCAATTCTCTTAAAATGTCTACTTCACTATCAGGATTTTTAGTATTAATCTTTTATGCTAAAACACTACAAAATCATAATAATATATTTTATTCCAATTTAGGCTTGCCTCCCTCGTTTATAAAATTTCTCCATCTTTTTCAAATCTTGTACCTGCACACCTGTGTTTCAGTTAAAGAACTTTCCTACGAGACATTACCCATTTTGTAAAATTCCCTTTCCCATCTCCACTTCGACAAAAGGATGTGTGTTATTCTAAATTAAGGAATAATTTATTCCTTTACTGTGAAAGAATTTTTTATATAATTCATGCTGTTAAATATATTTGGACACTGTAATATTGATGAGACAAAAGATACATATGTACACATTCCAACATAACTGTGTCAATTTAATGATAACTTAATAGCTAATTTTAAAAAATATACTGAGAAGCACTATTACCAAACAATTCCTTAAGAGTTCACATAAATAAACACAAGTTTAGAAAGACTCCTATGTATCAGTAACAGGGCAAGCATGGAAGAGTTGCCTTCACATATTCTAGAAATTTTTGTGGGTGGGGGGAAGTCTGGAGATGTTTACTGTGTGCCAGGTGCTACATTAGGGGTTGGATCTAGATTTATCTGATGCCATCCGCCTCCTTGTAATTACTTCACTTCCATTCTCCCGCTCCATTCTCTCAGAAACAAAACATTTTTAGCATCTGCACCATTTTGTTACAATGGGGCAAGTGCAGTGATTCAATCTTTCTGTAACATCTTTTATAGGTATCTAACCGTTGTGTTCGTCTAAATCTTAAGAGAGAGCAATGAATTGCTACCAGAGGCTTACATGAGGTACAGATAAATCTAATTCAACAAGTAAAAATGTTATTTTGTTCCTTAGATTAGGCAGATGTTGGTGATGGGGAAAGAGATACCCACAGAAAGTTACTATGTTCCTCCCTTATTGATTATGGAACTTCACATTTGTTAAATGTTCTTTTTGCAACCCCCTTGGGTTTACTCTGTTATTCATTTTTCTGTATTTTTTGATTAACATTAAAAATAACGGTAAATATTTAATATGTAAAAAAAAATGAAGAAAACAAAACTCCCTTGCAATTTCTGTACTCTGAGAAAATGGTTATCAACATATTGTCACAGGTTCTTCTAGTCTGTTTTTCTATATTCATTATCATTTGTCATCCATTAACTTTTTGTTTTTGACTCTGTACAGGTCCCTGTTTCTTCTCTTACATGTGTGGATTTATGTCATACCTTTAAGTAGCAATTTCTAGGCCTCTCACCTGAAATGTAGGTCCCTTTAGACAAATCCACTTGGTACCTCAAAAACATCTCCAAACACAAACACATTGAACTCTTTTTTCCTTCTAGAGTTTTCCAGTTTATCAATTCTTAACTCTGTTCATTTTGTCCCTCACACCCTAGAATGGTCACCAAATACTGCTGATTCTATGAGCAAAATCTCTTCGTCGGGTGCCTTTCTCTCCTTCCCCAGTCTCCAACCAGCATCACCTGACTTCAAGCTGATTTCTACCCAATGTCCTCAGATTTATCATCGTAAAACACAGAGTTAATGCAATTTCCCCAACAGCACCCCACTGACTCCAGTAAAGTCCAAATCCTTAATGTGGCTGATGAGAACCTCCCATTTTAGTGTCTCTTCTCAGACTAGAGCCACCAAAAGCACTAGAAATGGGATTATTCTTGATTTGAGGCCTACTGCCCCACCTAGTGGTATGGAACAACACCCAGGATGGGACTCGGGGGACTACACCAGGTCAGATCAAGCAAGCCTGCTCACAGGGGTCCAAACCAATTATCATCGCCATTCTTGAGAGATGAAAAGCTATGATGGCATCTCTACTTACCATGACCAAAGGAAATCAGACTAATTCTGACCTATACCCTTCCAGAATTTTCATGAAACTCAAGCTTACTGAAACAATATTCATTCACCTATGTATTAATTCATGCCCTTGATGCACATTTAAAGAACACCCGTAACTCAAATACTACACCAAACTAATGATACAGGGTCCATGTGATGACAGCCCATAAACAGGAAAGCAGATAAATAAATCCATAATGACAACACAGAAGGAGAGCCTAAGCTAGCCACCGGCAGGGAGGGCTTCCTATAAGAAATGATGACTGAGCTGATTTTGAAGTCAAGTGAGACTTGGATAGGTAAAGGCCAGAGTGAAGGGTGTTGTTTCGGTTTCAAAGCATTACACATGCAACATAGGGCCGCACGTGAAAAAGCTATGCTAACACAGCATCTACAGTTAGTACAGCATCCTGACTAAAGGAAACCTGAGTCAACAGGATTCTACCAGCGTCTTCCAGGAAATCCTATAGAGCAAATGTCTCCACTTCAAAATACTCACCAAGCAATAGCATTTACAATAAGGGTGAAAAAAAGATAATATTTTAAGCTGCACAACTCTTCAAAACCACACATTTCCAAATCTCCAATGTGCACAACTCATATGTAAAAGAAGATGAGAAATGCGATTTTCCTTAATCCTCTTCCTCTTTTTGGAAAGAAGGGGTAATACTCAACACTTTAAATTTTAAGGGAAGTCTATTAACAACACTCACACAGAAGTTTTTTCAGTAGGTGACAGTTACAGCTTTTTATAAAATACTAAGTGGCTTGAGACTGAAAGCAACGGTTAAGCTCTGTACTAAACGATATAATCACATTATCATGCATACATGATATAACCCCAAATGGACCCCTACAAACCACACACACCCACCACAGCAGATACCTCACCTGCCTTCTGCTGGAGCAGTGCCTGCAAAGTCTCCCTGATTAGCCCCCCAGAGGCAGCCCATTTTATCTATGATAAGCACTGCTCGAAAGTTCTATTAAACATGGAGACAAGATCTGTCTTACAGGAACTCTGGCTGGCATTAACTGTGACCAAATGTGGGGCCCCCAGGAGAATCTGCTACAAGAACCCATATCACATACTGTCCTGCAGTCTGTTCTCAGAGACCCTGTCTTGTCTCTTAGCCTAGCAATCTTAGTACACAGTACCCAGGGTGCCACAGCAAGGTCTGACTCCCACTTCCTGTTCCTTGCACTCTCCTCTGCACACAGCCCAGCCCTGCATGTGATAGGAGCAGTCCGTGTGACATGGATCCCTGAAAAGCAGGGCTACCGCCTCACCATGCTAGCTATGCCACTTCTGTTAATATGGTTTCCAGCACAGGGAATATTCTGAGAAACTATAATATTGCACACTTATTTCAAAATTTCCCTTAACTAGGGGTGCCTGGCTGGCTCAGTTGATGGAGCATGTGACTCCTAATCTCGGGGTTGAGAGTCCATCCCACACTGGGTCTAGAGATTCCTTTAAAAAAAAAAAAAAAATCCCTTAACTAAAACTCCCAAGTCGTGGTATTTTTTTTTTAATCGATGGATGTTAGGACTTGTCTCTGCCATTTTCTATTGCCCAGCTGATGCCAAACAGTTCAGACATTTCTAGCAACGTATTTACGGAAAAGTCTATATACTTCAAGAAAAATACTTCTCATACAGGGAAGGTGACTGGATAGATATTTATTAGCACACACTAGGTGCTGGATCCTGGAAAATCAAAGTCTAAGGAGACACACCGAATTATGTCCCTCTTATCACTTTATACAAGACTATGTATGTAAAACAAGGGTACGTGGTATATAATAGCTCTCAATAAGCTGCTGTTATTATTATAATGATGAGCAGTTATAAATTAACAGTCTTTTAAGAATTATTGGTTGTTTATGTTTTGAGGATTTTTCTTAGAGAGAGAGAGAAGGGAGGTGGGGGCAAAAGGAGTGGGAGAGAGAGAACCTTAAGCAGTCTCCACGCCCTACACAGCCCAACGTGGACTTGATCTCACAACCCTGAGATCATGACCTGAGCCGAAATCAAGAGTCGCACACTTGACGGACTGAGGCGCCTCTATGATAGATTTTTAAAACAAAAATACTGCAGCATTGCCACCAATACTCACCAGTACTATAATATCTCTTTAGTTCCGTACGCCTGATCTCCTTTAACTGATTATTTTTTCTCTTTTTTTTTTCATCAGTAATATATTCCTCTTCTACAGCAATGTTGGCCTTGTCTTGTTCTAAAATGACTGCTTTAGCATCCTCTTTTCCAGTATGGGTCCTCGTAGCAATGGCTGAGGCTGTCTCTGCATTTTGTTTGGCTTGTTTTTTCTTTTTCAATCTAGGAAGGAGGGGGAAAAAAAGGAAAAACATTGGAGAAATGCTTTTCTGGAGGAATTACATTAGTTTCATGCTTTTGGGCTTTCAGAAACTAATTAACTGATACGGAACACACTTTCTTTATATTACTGCCAATCACATTTTCCTGCTAATTTTTTCTTTTCTAATCACTTAAAAATTCTTACATGGAGACCAGTAGCATTTCCTCCACTTTACATCCTCAATACTTAACGTCTCAGAAAATTATCAGGAAAAAATCCTCTGGGCCCGAGGAAAGACTAGATTCTTTTACAGACTATTCAATGTTGAACATTCTCTTAATCAAAATATATGGCTGCCACGTTTGCAGTGTTACATCAAAAAACAAACAAACAAAAAAACAAAACAAAAAAACCAGAGAGAGAGAGAGAGAGTTTCTAGTTTTCAATGGGCAAACACATTTGTAAAAATAAATCCTTTATAACTGATTCACACACTGAGTTATATAAAAGTCTGGCAAGCTGGTTCGGGTCTGAGCAATTCTTTTCCTTTATACGTATCACAGTAGTACTGAAGGAAGAGCTGTAACCCCTGAGACAAAATGCCATAATGAGACTATATGAAGTGATCATTATAATCACTAATGTACCAGCTGACTGATAAATTAGTTAACATATCTCATTTTTTTTTAAGATTTTATTTATTTATTTGACAGACGGAGATCACAAGTAGGCAGAGAGAGAGGAAGAAGCAGACTCCCGCTGAGCAGAAAGCCCGATGCGGGGCTCGATGTGGAGCTCGATCCCAGGACTCCGGGATCACGACCCGAGCCGAAAGCAGAGGCTTTAACCCACTGAGCCACCCAGGTGCCCCATATCTCATGTTTTTAATTCCTCACTCCTAAGTCAAAGAGATGAAGTTTACTATACTTTGCTGAAATCCAATAACTCAAAATATTTTCCAATTGATGTCTCACTCTAATTGATATGTCACTCTGTACTTACCAGCCCTTCTGAAGAATGCCTTCACCTTACCGGAACGTAAAGAACCAGGGTCTTAGCCTCTAGCATATGTGACAGTCTGCTCCTACATAATTATTTTAAATTAGGACTCTTTGGGCTCGCTCCCTTTCTGTTTAAACGTGGTCTCTTACACGTATGTGTCTAGTTCCTTTGCTCTCTTGAGCATCTATCTACACAATTCGATGTTGGGCAAGGATAAGGAAATGTTCTGGGAGAAAAATGAGATACCTATAGGATAATAAAGGGACTAACTTGTTTGCTTTGTGACATTGCATAAACCCATTTAACAATTTGGACAGGTCCTTTGTTTAAAAAAGAGACCCTTATTCAACAGGGTCTTTTACTAACATCAATTGAGATAATCTACGTCAACATATAACACGAACAGAAACAGAAATAATAACATATCCCCTCATATGACAAAAATCATATAATGACATGAGAACTAAGGACACATGACACATTCAGCTTTGGAAATAAGGTGTCATATTCTAACAAAATATTTCAATTAGGCTATCATTCATTGAACACTTAGCAGCCAAGCTCTTAGATTTTCATTAGCTAATAAACAAGTATATGACCTAGGAGAAAGGACAGCTAGACACAAACCACAGATGAATACACTCCCCATCTCTCAGTTTAACTATCTTTTTTATGCTTACTCATTAAAAACCAAAGCAAACCAAACCGGGGATTCATAAAAAGGACTTCTATTCAACAGACATGTTTTTATTTTCTAACCTCAGATTTTAAACTATTTATTATTATTATTATTATTATTATTATTCATTATTCTGGTAAGAGCGGGTGGCTCCATGTTGAGTCGGTTAAGGTTTTTAATAAAACAATTCTCTCTTGATCAAGATTACTATGTGACGCTGAAATTAGTATAGAGTAACCTAGAAATATACAGAAACCAGCACTTCACTTAGGGAGGTCTATCAAAGAGCTGACCCCTGTGTCCAAAAAGCTGGGTATGGCTGGTCTGATCTTCTCAAAAACATGCTTGAGATGAACCTTATTGCCCACTTTCAAAAATTGTTCCTTCTAGGAAGAGAGAAAAGAGGAGTCAAAAAATAATTCTATGCAGCCTGAAATATACTGCTTCTTCCTCTTCTGGATTTTTCCACTTTAATTTGATTTAAATGTCCTCATTTCATAGTCCCTGTGATAATTAAACTCACTGAGATCTAGGGCACATGTTTTGATGAACAGTAGCACTGTCTGGGGACATCTCATTAAAGACTGATTTTCACACATGGAAATAACAAAATGGGATACATTGTTTCATTCATTTGACCCTGTTCTGCACAGACCATTACTCTAAATACTCACAGCCAAAAGTAGTTGTCCCCCCCCCACAAAAAAAAGGCTGGAAAATAGCAATACCAAACTTGTTTAACAGAAAACAGAATCCAATGTAATACTTCACTAATTTTACAATCAGCTACATCTTTTGATTTGACTAGAGTACTCATGAGAATTTGTTGCTCTGGAGTTTATCAACATGACCAAAACATTCTGATCGTATGATGTGAGTTTGGGAAGCCCACTGTAAAATCCTTCCTTTAAAGCAGAGAATACATTTTTAAGGCCTTGTCTAAGAAGGAATAACTGCCATCTGATGTATGTGTATATTTATTGCTCTTCAAATGTTCTCATTTAAGCCTTCTCTGTTTTTCTGCAAGTCAGTATCTGTCATGGTAAGACATTCTCAGAAAAGGGTTTTGTTATCACCAAATTAAGGTAAACTGAAAAAAAAGGTTACACAAGAAAATAAACCAAGTTTTTTTTAATGACCCCAAATGTACATTTATATTGTGGACCAAAAAAATACTTAGCAAATCATGTTCAGAGATGAAAACTGTAAACAATGAGACATATTTATATTTGATAGCTGTGAATATGAGTCCAAAAACCCCTTTTATTTTGTTATGCTGCATAACAAGCCCGGTGCAGGGCTTGATCCCAGGACCCTGGGATCATGACCTGAGCCAAAGGCAAAGGGTTAACCCACTGAACCACCCAGGCGCCCCTAAAACAAGTTTTATTATTCAATCTCCTCTCACTACTCTAACCAAGCCTTATTGGTTCTTGTAAGGGCCTACTTAGCCAGAGTGAGCCATTTTGTTGTTTATGCAGTAAACTTAGATTGAACCTGCCCCTTCTCCCAAGAGGAAAGCACTTCGAAACAGAATTGGTGAAATACGGCCAAATAGCCCCTGATAACAGAGTCCAGATTCAAGGACGCGTTCGGCCAGATGGAGACGTCCAATCAAGTAAAAAGCGCACGTATTACCCGCCAGGGAACGTGAGCCCCCACCTTTTGGGCACCAGACAAAGGCGCCAATTCTAGCCAAGGTCATAGGCTGACTAAGATGACTATCATGCGGTAGAATGTAATTCAACTGGCCACCTGTGTGTGGCCAGGCTCAACCACATGGCCTTTACTCTATAAAAGTTAGTCTGTGAGACTGGGAGTCGTCGCTTCTTTGCAAGAGACGGCCATGGCCGGTCAGTTTGATTCTCGATGGTTGGCGCGAAATAAAGCTTTGCTTGACCTTCGCTTTGTATCAGTCTCATCCTTTTGTCTACAGACCCTTTCAGTGGGGGCTCGTCCCGGGATAAAACGGCGAGGACTGAGCCAGCATCAGAAAGCCTCCGGAGGTAAGATCTCAAGACCCCTTGAGATCCTATCTGTCTGTTTGTCTGTCTGTCTGCGGAGCTCCAGGGTAATAAAGCCCACTGGGGAGAAGCTGGACGCAGCATAGCTCCCAGGGCTGGAGGGGATGCGGGGACGCCTCATCCCTCAGGGGAGGATTGCCAGGGGGTACGGCCCCTCCCAGGCAATCAGGGGACCAAGAAAATCCCCAACATTGGGTGCATCTAGGGGACTGAGAAAATCCCCACCAGCGAGTGCATCTAGGGGACCGGGAAAACCCCCACCAATGAGCGTGTCGAGGGGACCGCCACCGTTGGGTTTACGGATGCACGTAGGGAACCGAGAAAATTCCCCGCTGGGTCAACGGATGCTCATAGGGAACCGAGAAAATTCCCTACAACAGCAGGTTAAAGGCCGCGAGGTCTGGTTGTAGGGGGCCGGGTAACCCCTGTAGGGGCCGGAAAAACCCCCACCCGGGGCAGGCTCTGGATGAGGCCCGCTGGGTCTGCGTTTGTTTTTGTCTTGTCTTTTTGTTGTCTGTTGTTTGTTGTGTTTGAAGGAATGAGGCAAGCAGAGAGTGAGGGGACTCTTTCATCTCTCCGCTCCTCCTCATAGATGTGGGGCTTCTCCCTTACTCACTTCCCGTGTTAATGGCTATAACTGGAGCCAACTGGGGTTAGTCTAACTCGAGACAGAGACCGTAAGGAATATTCCCAAGCAGCTGCCGAAACTTCCTTCGTTTCGGGGAAGTTCCTTGCCCTCTCTGGCCCGATGTGGACTGCCTAGCCCCCTCCCCCTTGCTGGTGGGAAGGCATGGCATCTGCTCCTCTGTTGGAGTTGATGAGCTCTAAAACCGGGAATCCTTTCTCTGCCTCCTGGCGGCACCTTGTTTCTTCTGTCTCCCCCTTATCCTGTTTCTGCACCTATGTGCGTGCGGCCTGCATGACCAGCCTCTAGACCACGCACCACAGCTCCTTCTCTCTTCACTGTCAAGGAGCAAGAAGAGCAGCCCCTGGACCTAACACCCCCCACTCCAGATCTCCCCACCCGTGTCTCAGGTAAACATTCGGAAGTGGAGTGGGCCCAGGTGGAAGGTAAATCAGTATTTAAACTAAGTAAAGTTTGTTGGTTTAATTAAGATAGACGTGTCTTTTAAGTTATCAGCGGTAAATGTGAAACTTCAGAGTTTACTTAAGATCAGATAAGCTCTCGTTATTTCTTTCTTTTTTTTTTTTTTTAGGGAAGCAGGCTCCCTGCTGAGCAGAGAGCCCGATGCGGGACTCGATCCCAGGACCCTGAGATCATGACCTGAGCCGAAGGCAGCGGCTTAACCCACTG